TGCCGTGACCCTTTGAGAACCGGGTCCCAGTACGGCTTGCCTCTAAGGGCTCCGCTGTCCACGTCGGCGGCGAGCTCGGCGTCCGACTTCAAAATGTGGGTGGCTGGGTCGAGGATGAACTCGGCAGCCGTCGCTGAAGTAATGGATGATACTTCCTTCGGCTGCAGGTCGCCCCGAGCCACACGGAGTCGAGAGATATCATAGGTGCCCAGCGCGGCACCGCCAGTCAAGGTGTACAAGTCATCTGAGTGGAGGATGTCGGACAGCGCGGCCGACTCGCTCTCCAGCGGCAGATCCTGAAGCACGGGATCCAGGGCCGCGGAGGCGCGCTGCAAGGCCCGGCGCTGCCAGGCCGAGCACGCATCGAAATCGAGTTCACTGCCACGAAGCCCATGAAGAAGTGGACGTCGAGGCTGCGCCCGAGACAGGCTGGAGAGGGCCACGGCGTAGTCGCCGAGGAGCCGCTCCCGCAAGGGCGTGCCCTGCACCAGCCTCGAGATCGGCTGCCGAGGCAGCGGAGACTCCGCCCCCGCCAAACGGACAGGGAACGGTAGCGTGTCCCGAAGGGAAAGGGCCGCCGGACGTTGGGACCACACGCCGGCGGGACCGCAGCACGGCGTTAGCCGTCGCCGTCCTTGCCGTGCTTCTTCTTGTCCTTCTCCTTCCGCTTGGCCTCGAGCTCCTCCCGGAGCAGCCTGTTCTGCTTGAGGATGCGGGCCTCGACCTCGGCCTGCTGCGCGAAGTAGGTCGTGAACTGCTGCGTCGCCACTCCCCCCTTCTCGTCCTGGTTGTGCTCGATCATCTTGTGCAGGCCGTCGAAGCACGGGGACTTCGGATTGACCTTCACCGCCCGCTCGATCATCACGATCCGTCGGGCCGCCAGCTCCAGCGAGCCGCAGTTGGTTGGATCGAGCCCGTCGCACCCGACCGCCAGCCCCAGGATCTGCAGCAGCATCCGGTGCTCCCAGGCGACGGCGCTCTCCGCGTGCACCCCGGACTCGCGGACCCAGTGCACGTGGTACGTCGCCGTCGAGAGCCCAAGCGCGTGGATGCCCTGGAGCAGCTCGACGACCGCGCGTGGCCCCGGGTGGGGCCACGACGGCATCTTGGTGAGCTCGGCGGGCCTGAAGTTCTGCATGGCCAGGCCGAGCGGCTGGGCACCAGCAGCAGCGTCGTGCGACGCCGAGGACGCCAGCCGAGGGTCCCGGCCTGCGCCTGAGTGCTTGTCCACCAGCCACGCGCCCACCTCGCTGTTCGGCACGAGCTCGACGGCCAGCCAGCGCCCCGGCTGGCCAACCAGCGCCAGCCCGACTGATCCTCGCTTCACCCCCGTCGCCGCACCCTCGACGACGTCGGCCGCCACCTCCTCGCCGAACTCGACCGCTGAGGTGTCGGCCACGCGCCAGCTGGTCTGGGGCATGGTGCCCCCAGTCGGGGCCGCACCTCCAGTCAGCACGGCCGCCAACCGCGCCGCCTGTGCGTGCAGCGACGCCAGGCGCTCGGGCAACGTAGGGTCGCACATCCTGACGTCGCCCGCCTGGGCGTCCCCGACGCGGGCACCTGGGGCCAGCGTCACCAGCGTTCGCCCGGCCAAGTCGACGCTCTCGATCCCCTCGTCCGGGAAGCACGCGACCCACACGGCCTCGCGCAGCCGCCGCAGCAGCACCAGGTGGTGCCACGTGTGCGTCGCGTGCGCGTCGTCCCGCAGCAGGATCTGCGGCTCCTCGACCGCGAGCGCCCGCTCTGCACCGCCGAAGCCTGCCATGGCCATCCTCAGCGCCGAACCTCACTAGCGGCGAGCGCTGCCAGCACGGCGGGCGTTGCCGCCGCCGCCGGGGCGTCCCGCCGGGCCGGCGGAGAGGACGGCTTCGCAGCCGCGCGGCCGCCCCCGGCTCCACAGCACCCGGCCGCCAGCAGCGCGAGGCAGCTGGACGCAACGCCCAGCACCAGGCACGCGCAGGCGAGCGCGACGCAGGCCAGGCGGTACCACTCCAGGTCCCCGCGCGCCTGCAGGAGCTCGCGAAGCTCCTCGTCGCACGAGCAGGCGAGCTCGTGCGACGGCGCCGGTGGCTCCACCGGCGGCGCCACAGGCGCGATGGGCCAGACCGATTGCAGCAACCACGCGGTCGCGGCCACAAAGGCGGTGGCCCAGGGGAGCTGGTCGGAGTGCATTGGCATGAACCACAACGCCTTCGGAGCCAACCCCTCCCACTGCAGATAAGACGCGTACAACTGGCAATCCCCAGACTATTGTTGGACTATTTTCGTAGCAAATCCCCCTGTAGGGGGGCAGGCCCGACTTAATCATAGATCGCGCAGGATGGTCAAGCTTGGTTCAAAAGTACCTCCAGCGTACGCCCACGAGGCCCCCAGACGGTCCCGAGCACGGCTCGACGTGGCCAGGCTCCCCCCAAAAGGGTGCCCCCGACGCGCGACGAAATTCCTGGAGGGCGCCTGCTGGCAGGGTGTTACCAGCTTGGAACATATCCCTATCCCTATGCTGGGCATCGCCCCATCACGATGCCAATCTTTTCCCTCAGTTTTTGAGGGCGCATCCCTAAGATTGTCATCGCCTTTCGGCGTGTCAATCTTAGGGATAGGGATAAGTTCGAGGCTGTTGAGGGTGGTCTCATATCTGATGTGAGCGCGGGGACACATGCTCGCAGAGGCGAAGCCAGGGAACACGAGGGCTCGAAGGCCTTCGTGGGCCCAACGTCCGGCCGAGCTCGGCGCGTTCCCCAAGCCCGTCGACGGCAACGCACCGAAGATGAAGGACCTCTCAACCGACATGCTTCTGTCTGCGGGCACGTGCCTGCCGTGTGCAGCTTGGCGCGCCGCTTCTTGCCAGAATGCAGCGAGATGGCGCCCTCCCAGAGACAAGCAGGAAGTACAAGCAGCGGCCCACCGTTTGATATGCGGAATTGGACGTACGTGTACCCGAAGCCTTCGTCCATCTCCTCATCCTCCGTCCTTGCCTGCGTCCTTGGCCTGCTCGTCCTATCCGTCGCCTTGGCCCTAATCTTCTTTCTCTTCCTCCTCGTCATCCCCCCTCGCAACCACCCACGCTACGTGCTCGCGTTGATGTTGCTTTCGGCAACGAGAAGCCCGACGACGTGCCAAACCCGACTGCGGGCCAGCAGAAACCCACGCCCGCTCTGAAATCCGTCGCCGCTGTCCACGTGCAAGGTGCACTCCATTAGGAAGTTAGAACGTCCGCGGATGGCAACACACACCCCTGGTCCAGAGGAGAAACAAGGACCAATGCCACCGAGAACTCCTCGGGGGCACGCCTGCGCATCCCCCCTGTGCGGGGTCACGCTCGGGCGTGCCACCGCCGCCCCCCCCCCCCGACGGGTTCTCGGCGGCGGCGGTCCCTGCCTCTCCTCTGCCTGGCGGCACACTCGCCGCCGCCCCCCGCGCGCGCTCCGCGCGTCACTGGGGACCTGCGAGATGAGATCTGCCGCACCGCGGGCGCTCGGGGCTCGCGTTCCGGTGGCGCGGTTTTTCGGGAAAGGGCCGATCGAGACGACGGCGGTTCTCCCGACCCCCTGCGGATCCCTCGGAAATTGCTCCACTAGTTCCGCGTAACGGTAGTTACTGGGGGGGGGGGAAGGGGGACGCTCCAGGTGACGGTCGTCGGGGCGGAGGCGCGCCGCGACCGGCACAGCATGCGCCGCGCGGGCACTGGCATGTGGGGGGGGGGGGGGGGGGCAAAACCCCCCCCCTGCACAAGGTCGTTACCCTTACCCGGATGGGGGGGTGGGACAAAAGGGGTCTGGCCCAGGAAACGGTAACGACGGTCACGCGCCAGGGCAACAAAAAACAATCTCTAGGCGTGTGCGCTGTCCCCCCCCCCCCCGGACAGTCATGGCGCTGCCAGAAGTAACGCTAGATAAAGGAACGCGGCGAGCCTGGGCAGCGACTCGGTTCACCGACCTGGACCTAAGGAGCGGCACGGAGCGGCGGTAGGAGGTGTCGGCGAGCTTGAGATTGCTCAAGCACTGTGCCATCTCGCGAGAGGCGCACCCTGCAGCACATCGAATCTGGAGGGAGTGGCGACGACCAACGGGTTCAACAGTGGTCTCCAAGTCGTCGACGTCTTGTGCACAGTCTTCAAGCCAAGGCCCGACTGCATCTGCGACATCGGCATTGGTAGCCAGGGCCTTGGCACGAACCGCGACGATGGTGGGGTCCGCGTTGTGGTCGAAGCCCGGCGGGACCTGCATGGGGTTGACAACTGGGGCCTCGCACTCAGCACAATTGAGAATCCTCTGGAATTGACCGATGTCGTCCTGCATGGTGGCGACCTTCGATAGCGCCGAACCGCCGCTCGACCTGCAAGTCGAGTCCTTTGAAGTGCTTTTTCTTGGATGTAGTGATACCACTGAGCCCTTGAGGAGGAGGAGGAGGAGGAGGAGGAGGAGGAGGAGGAGGAGGAGGAGGAGGGTTGGGGACCGGCCAGAGCGAGCATGAACTCATGACGAGCACGATCCACATAAGCACGACGCTCCCCAGCCGACTCGCCTGGGCCATCGTCTGACGGGCGGCTTGTTTCTCCATTGGCCTCCGTGCCCTGCGACGGAAAGGTCGGATCTGCCTCGAGCGCGGCAAGAAGGCCAGGGGATCCTGGCGCGGCTGCGGCTGCATGGGTCGTACTGCTGCAGAGATGCCAGCATGGATCCACAGCGCTGGACGTTCCTGTGAAGATCGAAGGTGGAACACCTGAACCTGAGTGGACTCGTGCCAGCCCCTCGGTTGCGAACATAGTTGGGAGCCACGGCGCGATGGTTGGCCACAATGGCCAGTTACGGACGTCCTGTTCCTCCTCCTCCTCCTCCTCCTCTTCTTCTTCTTCGCTTCCTTCTCGCCCCATCGTCCTCCTCGTCCTCCTCCTCCTTCTCCTGCTCCTCCTCGCCTCCTCCTCCTCCTCCTCCTCCTCCTCCGCGTACCCCTCCGCCTCGTCTGTTCGTCCTGTCTCCGCCCCTGCCCCGGCCCCGCGCAAGGTCCTCCTGCCACTCGCCCGCGAGGTCACATTCCTTCGGGCAACGCCAAACAGTTGCCGTCACGCTGGGTGCCCCCTTCCCCGATCTGGATGAAGCAAATCCGTTAACCCGCTTGAACAGCCGCTAACGCGTACCTTCACTGAGATATGTTCGCAGACGAGTTGGGGCTCTGTCTCCGTTGATGGCAATCGGGCCCACCGCAGAGGCAGGAAGACACTGCACGCCGACCCTGGGCCCGGTGTGGGCCCGGCCAGGACCGGTGACGCGGCCAGCTGACGTCTCCAGACACCTGGCGTCGTGATCTTTCCACAGCGTGCCCACCAGGAGGTCTTGACTCCTTCTCCGGGCCAGGCCTGCTATCCAACGCCGTGAATCCTGACGGCCCCAGGGCCCAGCAAGGGCCCCTGGAGGCAGACGTTGCAAACCCTTCCGTTGCGACCCTCTCACGACGCGGCACGGTGACGGAGAAACACTGGCGTTCGTTCAGAGCCAACACCAACCGCTGTTGGGCAGGTGACATTTGCTCCAAGCGGGCACCGTCCGCGGCAACACCGACAACGACTCCTGCTCAAAAAAGCCTCGACCTGCCGCCAAAGCCACGCTAACGGCGATGTTGGTTACCGGCGATGTTGGGAATTTGGTCTTCGGGACGCCGAACCCGTAGGAAAACACGCGCAACGCTTTCCTACAACTGGGTTGACCTCGAACCACCCCCACCTGCAATACTGAAACCAACATCGCCATTACCTACATCGCCGTTAGTGCATCCACGGTGTCGCTGGTCTCGTCCTCAGGTGCGCGAGCAGCACCAAACCCCAAGGAACCCGCGTGGGCCTCCGAAAATTCATGCTTATGCAACTGCTCTGTCTCGACTCTTCAAGTCAAACAACTTCGGGCATCCCGCCTGGCGATGCGCGACCCGCGAATACCAGCGCCCCCCTCCTGGATATTGGTAGCTATCCTGCCCAGGCCGTTACGCGCGAGGCGAGACTATCTTCGCGCCCCCTCGTGTGACACATCCTTGAAAATGTAACCGTCGTTGCCCGGGATGGGGTTGGGGCCCCGAGTAACGGAAACGTTTTGGCGGGGTGGGGTACGTCGGGTCGGGGGTGCACTGCGATCGCCCGAATACGCGTGCGAACACCAACACGTGTGCTGGGGGTGTCCCGGCCGCTTGACGGACCAATCGCAGCCGACTGGTGCCAATTTCAACCGACCGAAAAACCTACTAATACCAGTTACAACCGACCATCTTAAGCCGTACAATAGAAGTCTCAGTGTGAAGCAAACACTTGCACGATCCACCAATAGCATGCAATGCTAAATGTAAGCATTCATTATGGGAGACAGCATGGATGCCTGAGATGGAATTGGTACCACCGAGTGTCGTTCTTCAGTTGAGATCTATAAAAATGACGGGCGCTAAGCAAGGGCTCCCAACTTCGCGCTTCGCGCTCCGCGAAGCGCGAGAGCGCGAATGACTTCGCGCTCTCGTGCCGCCCCCCCCCAAAGGGAGAAGAGGAGGACGAGGAGGAGGGGGAGGAGGAACGAGGACCGCGAAGCGCGAAGCGCGCATCACTTCGCGCCCTCGTGGGCGCCCTTTGGTGAGGGACGTCGAAAAATAGGCACTCTTGTTGGGGCGGCGGACGGCCCCCAGCCGGAAGGGCTGGTCCGTGGAAGCCGCCGCGACGCACGGCCGGAGAGGCAAGGATGCAGGGGCACCCTAAGGCCGTAAGGGAGCAGGACGGCCTCCCAGACCTCCAACGCCTTGAAAGAATCAGGGCGGCGGATTTTCCCGATGTTCGGCCTCCAGGGGCCCTCGCCGGGCCCCGGGACCGTCCAAAAACGACTCGGGACGGAAAACCGGTCCTCGGGGATGGGTCGAGGCTTCGGGGGACCGCGTAATGAAAAAATCCCAAGGGATCCCAACTTCGCGCTTCGCACAGCGCGAAGCGCGAACAACTTCGCGCTCTCGCGCCGCCTCCCAGGGGAGAGGAGGATGAGGAGAAATCGGAGCCGAACCGCGAAGCGCGAATAACTTCGCGCCCTCGAGGGCGCCCTTGCTAAGGCCCTAAGGACATCCGTGCGTCCTTGCTCGTAGTTTTGACCGTGTGTGGGATTTCTGCGATTTTCGGGACGGGCAGCGACCAGGAGTCATACCGGATCTCTGTGGTACCGCACGACAAGGTCCTCGCCTTTTCGAGCGTCCGACGGTACAAGGTGGCCCAAGAGGCCCCCAAGACCGCCCCAAGAGGGCCCCAAGACCGCCTCAAAATGGTACCAAGAAAGGGGGTCCAAAACAGCCCAAGAAAACCTCGAAACGACCCAAAAGGCGCCTAAGACGGCCCATGAGGGCCCCAGGACGGCCCCAAAAGGGGGAGCATGACCCGACGATTCGAGCCTTCCGACCCAACAGGCCCCATGGAGCAGGAGAACCCAGAATCGAATCGATAAGTCGAATAGGCAGTCGAAAAAATCAGATCGGCGGACATCGGCAACCGAGTCGGGGAAAATCGAATCGGCGGAAATCGGCAGGCTAGTTTGCTTCTAGTAAGAAGTCGGAACCCACATCGGAATCCCAAGTCGAATCGAATCGGAATCGGAAGCCATCGAAATCGAACCGAATCGAATCGAATCGGAGGAATCGAAATGAGAGGCCTTGGGGGCTCCAAAAAGGCCCCCAATATGCCTATTGAATCTCACGAGAGGACCGAAATTAGTTTCCTAACGGTCCTCAAGAGGCCTCGCAACTGCCTCGAGAAGCTTTACACGAAATCCCAACGAACCTCCCCCGAAAAAACCTCGGACGCAAAACCCAATCACCTTGGCGGGATGGGCCGAATGCCGCCGACTAAAAGAGAAGACGAAACTTACGGGACAAACCGCACCTATACGACCACCCTGCGGGTGATAAAGAGGTTGCGGGGGGGTGGGGGGGAGGGGGGTGGCTCATGACGACAACTGTGTTGAACGTGGTGATGATGGGCGATGATGGTGTGGATGGCGTAACGGATTTTTTGTTGTTCCTTCGCTTGGGCGACTTTTTTGCTCCTTCGGATGAAGATGAAGACGGTCATGATGGTGATGGTGATGGTGGTGATGAGGAAATTCAACACAGTTGTCGTCATCAGCCACCCCCCCGCAACCATGATGAGCAACCGGCGGGACAATGATGAGCAACCATGATGAGCAACCGGCGGGGCATGATGATGATGAGCAACCATGATGAGCAACCATGATGAGCCACCGGCGGGACAATGATGAGCAACCATGATGAGCAACCGGCGGGACAATGATGAGCAACCATGATGAGCAACCATGATGAGCAACCGGCGGGCGACCGACGGGACAATGCGGGCCACCGCTTGACAACACCGGGGGGGGGGGGGGGGAAACATTTGTGTTGGCGGACCCCTAGCGACAGCAGCATGAATTCCTATCGCTGGCCCACGCAGCTTCGCCTCGCCCGCACGCACGGCACGAGCACGAACTCGAAACTCGATTTCCCGGTGGGGGGACTCCGTTACACTGCGATCTCACCCCCCAACCTCCGATACGATACAAACAATCACGTATCGACCCGCCCAACCATCCATCCACCAACGAGCCTACCCGTCGGGGACATCGCCCGCGAAACAAGCTCGACAAACGGACACGAGCCAAATATTCCATTCGACACGTACTGCCTCAGGCGACCGCCGTCAACTTTCCCCCCTCCTCCTCCTCTTCCTCCTCCTCCTCCCCTCCTCCCCGTCCTCCTCCTCCTCCTCCTCCTCCTCCTCCCCGTCCTCCTCCTCCTCCCTCATCCCCCCTCCTCGACGTGAAGCTCACAAACTACGGCTGGACAAGAGGCGTTCGCGCGGAGCGTCCCGGGGCGTCCCAGATCGTCGGCACATTCCCGAGGCCTCTTCGATATTACATGGAAAAACGCGATTCCATATGTCACGGATGCAGCGTGCCCATCGGTCGGATGAAAAAGGTAGAAGCACGACGTAGGCAAGCGGGTTCCGTCCACCCCCTTGGGAAGACGGAAAATGCGAAGCCAATCGGTCATTGAGTTCGGAATGCGCGTAAAGTATATTGGAATGTGGAACTCCAAGACGACCTACTTTCAATGACCGATGGGTATACATACATGGGAACGGCGTGCTGTCATATGATTTGTTCTGGCCCGCAGGCAAAACGAAAACATGAGCAAACTAACATCCACTGCTTCTCGCTGCATTGGCCTGCTCCCGAGCGGCCACCAGAGCTCTCAAAACCTCCAGCTGGTCATTGGTGACGAGGGGACATGGTGGCTCCGGAAGCAGAGGGGCTGCGACAGCCGATGTCGCTGTCGAAACGAGAAAAGAAGCATCACTGAGCCGAGATAGTGCCGCGTTGCCTCGGGACCTGTAGCGTGGATTCAACCCCTGCCGGATACGCTGGAGAGCGCAGTGGCCGCGCTGACTCGGCTCGGAAGGGCACGCTCTCTGCAGATTATTGCACCTCTTCTGTGTGTCTGCCCCGCATTGCATGCAGAAAGCCAGAAACGCCTACACATATCATTCATGCATACCGAAAATCGGTCGGGCCTCGTCACCAGCGAGTTTTTTGTTGCAAGTGGAAGAGTTTTTGCAACCCAAACATGGACGGCTCACAAGCTGATCAACAAGCACTGCGTGCATCGCAACGCTCCTTCACCAACGGATACCCAGTGGTGCCACCTGTCATAAAAAAAGGCGTACCGTCTAGGCTTGGGTGAGCAAGGACTTCGCTGAACCTCCACTTTTCGGAAAAAGCAGTCAGGTGGCGGCCATTACTTTGGGCATCATCCAACAGGTCTTTACAACCAGATCCATCCACCATCTCAGCCTCATTATCAGAAGGCTGAGGATGTTTGAGAAGCGCTTGCTTGGCATCTCGATCTGCCGCAGCACTCCCCAAAGTAATCCAGCCCTCATTAATCGGCAACGCCTCGATGATACCATTGCTTCGGTGGGCAGGGGTGTGCTGTGCAGGCAATGCAAAATGATGATTGCCCTGCAGCGTCG